AAATCTTGGCTAGTACATCCAGAAAGGGATCGCCATGGCCTGAAGTTCATCTTTCATATGTGTCGACCCTACAAAAACTATGGCTGAGAATATAGCTCAAAACTCATGAAAAATTAACTACGGCTCTTCTTTTAGTCCACAATTTGATGCGTGGTTGACTAAACTTTCTCATGCGACAGCCGACATGGATCACGTCGTTCCTTCTACGACAAGAACGGTGAGAAAGGCCAAACGTCTCCTCGAGTTGATGATTCTTCAAAGAAACAAGACACTTGCGCTTTGATTCTCCCTAGAATTTTGTTCTTATCAAAAATAAATATGTGTCTTGCTTGTTAGAGAACGAGTTCATTGGACATGGTTAAGTTGGATGAGAACCAATCTGGTATTTACCTTCTATCTATGGAAATCTCATGAGTGTAACTTCTTCTGGTTGACTGTTTTCTATAGACTCCTTATAAAGAACTTTATAACTTTTCATTACATTTATAAACTATTAAAATGATTTATTTGAAAGGTTGTAATTATCGTATTTATAAACTTTTAAAGTATTTTATTTTAAAAAAAATAACATTTATATTTATAAATTCTTAAAGTGATTCACTTGTGATATACTAAATATATAAAATATATAATCATTAAAGCTTGATGAAAGCTTGTGCTATAAATACTGTTATTTGATCTCATATTTACTTAATTCTCTAAAGTTTTACCCTATTACATAGAATGAGTAGAGTTTGAAAGTGTCAAATATATCTAAAAAAAAAACAGCAAATATGTGAGGAATATCAATGGCTATAGATATTATTTCCTTGCCATTAAAACTTATAATTTTTTTATAAATATATTTATTCTGTATCATTGAATCATTAATTAAGTTTTCTTATAATTATCTTATATTAGAGATGGGATACAACAAAGCCATGTGAAGATTTATGAATATCTAAGATAGGATTTGTCACTTCTGGTAAAGAAAGTTAGTGGCCACTCATTAAGTGGATGACTACAAAATCTATACATACAGTGGGAATTGATTTGAGAAGATTTTAGAAGGGTTCTCAAATCATAGGATAGTTACATTCCAAAAGAAATAGATTATCTCCATTTTATATAGTATTTATTTTAATTTATATTTTAAAAGAAATAGATTCATAAAATCATGGGCTTTGAAGTCAAATTTCAGTATTCATTCTTGGAATTCTAGCTATATAAAATCCCTAATTGGATTGAGAATTAAGACAATGAGGAAGACAACTAAATGTGAAAATCTACTTTGAAGAGATCTGATTGACTTGTGTACATGTTTTGGAACAAAAAGAGAGGGAAATTAAATTTTGTATTGTAAGGAAGGAAATTTCCTTACCAAAAGTCTAGAAAAAAAAAATTCTTTGTAAATCAGGTATAACTTTCTCTACATATATCCAAGTTAACTACTTTTAGTGTCAAAAGAACTCTAAGAGGTAGTTCCATAGTTTTTATATATATGATTTTCTCAAAATAAGTCTATGTCACAAAGAAAATAACTCCACTTAGAACAAGTAGTCAATTACACATTCTGGTAGTCAATTATATCGATGCTACTAGCTCCAATTAGAATAAATAATCAATTAAATAAGTTGGCAATCAATTACATTAACACCACTAGCTCCATTCAAGATGACTAATTAATTAAAGATCCTAACAGATAATTATATTAACGTCACTAGCTCCACGTAGAATAGCTAGTCAATTAAATATTTTACAGTCAATTATATTAATGTCACTAGAGCAACTCATAATGATGAGTTAATTAAATATCCGAGCAGACAATTATATTAACTCCACTAGCTCCATTTAGAACAACTGATACAATCCAAATCAGGTCCAAATTCAGCCTTTAAATATTTGTTGATCAATTTTGTAAGATCATGCATATCTCTCAAACCATATATCGGATCGGGCTAGAATTTTACAAGAAAATAAATACATATGGATATAAAAACTCTTGAGTCCCAAGAATTTTCTTAGATAGATCTAGAGTTGTTTAAGGTTTTTCCAAAGATTACTTAAGATCAGATATTGTTTTTGGTTTTGAATAATTGCTTCAAGTCTTGATTGTTACAAATCATAAGTTATTGCAGTGTTTGGCCTCTAACACTAATTTACATGAATCACCAATAAAAAATATTTTAAACCCTTTTAGAAGAAAAAGATTTCTATATCTTTGAGTGCTATGTTTTTTTTTTTTTGGTCTTGCAGGTGTTTGCAACTAGTTTAGTTTTCCTCTCTGTTGCACTAAAAATAAGAGGTATAACATTCTAATAATAGAGAAACCTAAAAACTCTATAAATAAGAAAAAAAATACTAATTTTCTCATTAAATAATCACACACACACACACACACGTATATATATACTAGAATAATTTAAAAATTTATTCAATCAAGTCCCTACGTGACTTTTTTATGTTTAGAATTGTAATCCCTTGTATTAATGACTTTCTAACTCTCAATTTCTAAAAGTTATTTAATTTTCTCATTAGATGATCTCTCTCTCTCTCTCTCTCACACACACACACACACACACATACATTTTGGAATAATTTAGAAATTTATTCAATCAAATCCCTACGTGAGTTTTTTTATGTTTAGAATTGTAATCCCTTGTATTAATGACTTTCTAACTCTCAATTTCTAAAAGTTATTTAATTTTCTCATTAGATGATCTCTCTCTCTCTCTCTCTCTCTCTCTCTCTCACACACACACACACACACGCATACATTTTGGAATAATTTAGAAATTTATTCAATCAAGTCCCTACATGACTTTTTCTATATTTAGAATTGTAATTTCTTGTATTAATCATATTCTAACTCTCAATTTCTAAAAGTTATTTACAATTAAGTTATACTTGATTAATCATTACATTTTATTTTTTGACTAATGGGTTTTATATGTGTGACCCATTAGGTTTCCAAATAAGTTGGTCTAAATATAAATCATAATTCTAAATAAAATAAGATTAAATTAATTAATTAATTTAATTTATTATCAACTCAATAATTTATTGATTTATATTTGAAAATCAAGTATAATATCTAGTAAACTCTTATGATCCCTTCAATATTAAAAAAGTCATAAGTGGTTTGACTTAACTTTCTAGTAACCAGTTTCTTAATGTAGTTATTATCCCTTTATCAAGAATATTTAAATTTAGACATTATAGCCTAAAGTATGTCTACTTTGTGAAATCATTTTTTTCTCAATACTATAGTCATTGATTATTTAAATAAGATTTAAAACTCCTTTTCAAATCTCATTCCATCTTAACCAAGGATTTCACAATCAATACTGTTTAAGAATAAATAAAACTTTTTTAATAATTTACTTACGGTGATGAATTCTCTTTTGATTACTTAAACACCTTCATATTATATTATACCTAACATATGCTCAATTGTTACCCTTTATTGGAACAACATGTAATTAGAATCAAAATATAGCACTCCCTATATAAGATAACTTAGTGATCTCAAGTTTAAGAATCACTTACATAACTGTCACCTAGCCTTTTTATAAACATAGATAATCTCTTTATATGAGTTTCTCATGTGTATTAGTTAAATGTGCATGTTACCTAACAAGCATGCATCTACCATATTATTATTTTTAGATATTTTCTATACCTCAGCTTATAGAAGCAGTTGTTTCCTTTCATAAAAGAAAAAAATATAATATGTATTATTCTCAATAACTTTAATTAATATTTAATATTAAAAAAACATTGATCATAGGCATTTAAGAATAATGCTTTGATGTAATAAGAATATCATAATTATAACAACTTTATAATTTTCTTTGCAGAATATTTTTATCTCATAGACTTTATTTTAACTTTAGATTCATTAATAAAAATATAAATAAATAATAAAGATAAAAAATCTTTATTAATAATAAATAAATTTTATATGAATAAAATTTGTGCTATATAAAATCAACCAATTGTATTTATTAACTCAAAGATTAAATATAAAATATGTAATAAAACCATAACCATATAACTAAATTAGCTTTCCTAGTAACTCCCTGTTTGGTCAAATGATCTGCTACATAATTCCTTTATCTAGAAACATGTGTAAAATTCACAAAATAAAGCATAATACATGGATTTGAAATGTTATTGAACTCATATTGTGATTATCATGACATCATAATATTATATTGTTGTTATTAATCCAAGTAATGTTTGTCATTGTGTGAATTAGACTCACAATATTCTAGTCTTTAGAAGAAGTGTAATAATAATTAATACTCAATTAAAAAGCTTTTCAAATCACCAAAACCTCATCTACAGTGGACTTCTTAATACCCATAGAATATGAGAAGATACAAAGAAAATCTACCTCATGTTCTTTTAATATGTACACCACCAATTCTTGAAGGCTTAATTGCAACTAATAGCTTTATTCCATTATTTATTGATATATGTATCTATCACTCCAATCCAAGTTTTCAAATGAAACAAATGAATTAAGAAAAAGTAAAGAGAAAGTTGTGCTTTACATCCCAAATAAAACATACCTCGATAAAAGGTTTCGTGAACTCAGAGGGAATTATTATTATTATCATTAATGTGTTATTCGGGCATTAATTTTGAAATAGGCTCTCGCTCCTTCTTTTTTTTTTTTTTGTTTAAATGTCATTATTAAAATTAAACTAAATGAAAAAAACAAAAGCAATAAATTTAAAAAAAATACAAAAGAAAAATAAGATTATAATAAACTAAGACACGCAAGACACCAAATGTCTTTCTTGATACATGATTACATTTTTATTAATTGAAAAAATGATAAAGCGAGAAGATAATTATGAGTACATTTTTATCAAATGCAATAAAGAGAAATGAAAAGCTGAATAGAAATACGACAAGATTAGTATTTTTTTCTTAAGAAAAAAATAAACATACGAGATTTTTCTTCTTTTGTGTGAATGATTTTATCATTAATTTTATGCTCTTATTTAATTTCCTAATTTGAGAAGAGGTAATTATATGTGAGAGCGAGGCCCCATGGAAGCCGGAGTGCTCAAATTCCAACCAACATCGCACAAAATATATATACAAGAAGGATGACAGCAAGAGAAGGAAATTTACATATACAGCACACTCACACAGAAGAGTATAATAAGTATCTCAATATGTCTGATATTCTAATTAATACGGCTAAGAGATTTAGATTTAATGGTTTCGAGCACAAGCCTGTTTTGTACTTAAATATCGGCTCTGAAACTCACCGCCGAGGACACCGCAGGGGGGATGCTTTGTTGATTACTGAAAACGTTGTCTGGATCAATATATGTCTTGACTGCAACCAACCTATCGTAGTTTCTCAAGAAGTACTTTTCTCCCCAAACCCTAGCAACCTCGACAGCATCTCTTGTTGGAACCATACTGGTTTTGTCATGAAGCAACTCCATCACTCCAAGGTCGAAGTCCATGTAATTGATATAAGCAGCCCTCGGACCGAAGGACACAAAGGGTGTCATTGCATTATAAAATTCTCTTATCCAGTTAATGTAGTCGTTGCTTTTGTTGTCATCTCTCTCTTTCCATTCCACCAGGTACTGAATTGTGAAAAGGTTACCCTCTCTGTGAGGGAAGGCAATGGCATCGCTGCTTATATTTTGCATAATCCCTCCGTACGGGTCCAAGATGACATACCCTTTAGGCTCCTTTTCAAGTATGTCTAGAGCTGTTCTTATGCCCTCGAAAGAAATATTTCTCCTCACATAGTCTGATTTGGCCTTGAAGTAGTTCTTCTCTTTCGTATACCGATTTTTCAAGTCGGACACTAGGCTTCCATCACTTAAGCCAGAGAAGAATAGGATTGATTCTATCCAAGTCATTTCTATGCAATCTTCTGTTTCAATACCCAGCTCAGGAAAAACTTGATTTAGGATAGATACAGCTTCATTTCTCGGACCTAGATAAAACCCTTTAAATGTAGCTGATATTCCTCTATTTTTTGTCCCTGGCAGACCGGCTCCCACAAAGCATGACAAGTAAAAATCTCCATCTAAGCTGGGTGCTACCCCTTGCCAACCATTCACTAACTCGGCTACTTGGTTTTTTGTGCCAGGTCTAGAGACTATAAAACCAGTAACAACTTCCGGCACTTTCAGCAACCTTATTTTCCAAGCATAAATAATGCCCCATGCACCTCCTCCGCCACCTCTAATAGCCCAAAACACATCCTCTCCCATGGCTCTTCTGTCTAACAACCGTCCATTGGCATCGATAAGAAGGGCATCAACCACATTATCTGCTGCAAGTCCATACTTTCTAGACAATAGCCCAAATCCACCTCCTCCAATATGACCACCAACTCCAACAGTCGGACATGATCCAGCTGAGAACCCATGAATGCTGCTTGCCTCGGAAATAGCTAAGTAAGTCTCACCAAGGGTTGCACCTCCTTCCACCCATGCCGTTTCTGTCTCCAAATGCACTGAAACTTCGTTCAGATTCATCATGTCTATAATCACAAAAGGAGCTCCATCATTAGCTACTGATGAAGTCCCCTCGTAGCTGTGCCCACCACACCTTACCCTTATTTCCAACAACCCTTCCCTACAACACATCACACTCTTGACTAACTCATCTAAACTCCCAGGTAGGATAATGGCTAATGGCTTGGCAATTGTTGGTTCTGTGAAGCGAAGGTTTTGAATGGAGAAATCAAGGATCTTATAGTATGTTTTTGAGTCGTCATCTTTTTTTGTGCTAGGCAACGTGGTGAAGTTGTTTATGTCATGTGTAGATAAGCAAGATGTAATTTGGTCCTCTGGTGCACATAAAGATGGAAGTACAAGAGCGAAGGACATGAAGAGAAACAGAGGAGATGGGCATTTCATCAAGTTAGCCATGGTTGTTTAGAGCCTTAACCTCGGGAGAGAAGGTTGGTTCTGGAGTGGTGGAAAAATGGGTTATATTGAAAAAGTGGAGAATCATATCAGACGTTGCGGACACAAAGATGGAGAAATCAAAGTTAAGAGCATATAAGTGGCCGGCAATTCATTTAGCAGTCGCCTAACTTAGTAAAGTGGTATCTCCCTCCAATATTTAATTGCCTCAAAACTACCATTGAAAGGCGACAAAAGCCACATACAACAATTTGCATGAGATACCATATAGGTAGAGAGAGAGAGAGAGAGAGAGATTAGGTATGGAAATAAATTAACTTGACCATGATTGTACATGAATATAATAAGCGAGAACAACTAGGTAAAGATAGCAGAGCTATAGAAGCAAGACAAATATAAACATCCAAGGCCTGCCTTTGTTTGATCGGGTGCTTATTACTCATATTTCTTCTGACGTATATTAATTATAGCTAGATGGAAAGCATGCACAAACTGTTGGCCTTTAGTTATTTCTGTATCTATTTTTTAGAGATCCATGGTGTTTCCACATGCCGAAGGATAAAGTGGCTGTACCATTTCAGAAAAGATAGTAGTCCATGGAATATTCACTTTGTTTTGGTGTTGTTCTAACTTCGATTTGAATGCATGCACGCCGTAACTCTATCCGGTGCTATTGCTATAATTGATATGGAGAAATAACATAATTGGAAAACCTCAATTTATCCATTACTATATTATTCAATTATCAATTGCATTCTATTCTTATATATATATATATATATATATATATTATTCGTTTTACCCAAATGCAGGACATTAGAGAATGTCTTGCCACCCCTCCTTCCATTCCTTTCCATTCATTATTATATATTTTAATTTAAAAGTTTAAGTTATTAAATAAAAAAAACTAACACTATTATGTTATATTATTATCTAACACTATTTTGTGCAAACTATTTTGTACCTAATTTTTATATAATAAATAAGAATAATGAGATTTATATAATAACCACTTGATGAATAAGGTTTTGATACTATATTAAAAAATCATTTCAATTTAAAAATTTAAATTATTAGATGAGATTCCAAAATATAATTTATATTATTATCTAATATACTTTTTTTTTTATTTAGTTTGCATGTGATCATTAAGTGTTTTGGATTAAAATATAACATAGGAAATCTACTATGAAAAACAATTTGAGGATGAAATAATAGTATATTTTTTTCCCACCATTCTAAAGACAATTTATTACTATTTGATGATAAAATTTTTTTATTTAAAATATTTGGAGTTTATTTTCACACCTTGAATATAAACACTATTTAGAACATATTCTTTTAATATGAGTAACAACAATCGAGAGGTGATATTGTTTAATGTCAATTATGTTTAGGACAAAATTGATAAAATCAAAACATATGAGATTCAATGCTTAATGGGATGATACTTTATCGACTAACTTAAGGCTTGTCCTTAAATGATTGACATGCCATGATTGCATGACAAGTGATTGCATGAAAGTGTAAGCCCTTGAAAAATGTTCTGTTTCTGTGTTAATCAAACCATCAAGATTATTGTATTTTATTTGATTTAATTAAAAGGAATTTAAATTTTAAAATTAACTATTAAATTTAATTTTAATAAAATGAACTCTTCTTATAAGTTCAGACTTGTAATTCCAAACTTCTAATAACATATTATAAACAAATTGAAACTTGTAGAGAAATCAAATAATCTAAATGTTTTGAATTTAAAAGATAACTTTACAACTTAGGTTTAAGAAACTTAAATTCATTGGATAATTCTTCATTTGATCAGAAACACACAATGAAATTTCTTGACATGAAAAAATTGATTTATGATATGACTAAAAGATTGATATCTTCTCTCAAGTATAGGAGTACCAAAATAATAAATAACCCAACTAGACCGGGATTGAACCATAAGAAGATTAACTGTATAAATTATAAATAATAATAATAATGATAGTGGTGGTAGTGGTGGTGGTGGTGGTGGTGGTTTAAAGAGGACTTTAAGATCTAAGATTAATATGAAGATTAAACAATGATAAAAACAATTGTCAACGTTAGAGGATCCACTTATGGTATTCCAAATAAGTATAATATAACCTTTTTTATTACTTAACTAGAAACCACACACAAAGAAAGTTATAATTAGATAATAAATTGTTAATATGATTATATTAGTTATCTTATTCAAATAATGTTAATACTTATAAATGTTGTTAAGTATTCATGATTATAACTTATGTTAACAACAAATCAAGTTTCTTTCATAACACAAGTGTCGGTTATACCATACGGTTGGGCTATGAAAGTGCTAAGTATTTGTTAAACGAAGGGTTATACAACATAAATCTAGATTAACCATTTAACAAGCAAAATATTAAAAGTAAACAAGATAACAAATACAAAACATGTTAGTATCAAACATTAAAGTCCATGTTGAGTTTATACTATATTTATTCTTACACCATTAGTTTAACTTTTTCACTTTAACATAATAAACTTAACTAGACATAACAAAAAAGAGAAACATAAATAAAAAAGATACAATATAATAAGATATAAGTTAACTAAGTAAAGAAATGAAAATGAAAGGTATAAACAAGAAATTAGTTAAAGCAAAATTTAAGCATTACAAACATATAAAAAGAAAGCACTAATATGATCTTGATCTGAAAACTAAGATATCTAAATGCATGACAAATACCTCCTTTTATAAGCTAAAATTTAAAACTATTAATTTGATGACTAATTGTTGAGTGGGTAGTCATATCTTCACTTTGGTAACAATTCTTATCTTTTTGTCTATAGAAAACATCATTGATAATATCAGAATTTGAACCTATGATTTTCATAAAATTTCTAGGAAATTATCTTAGCTATAAAAAAAAAAATAGAATCAATGCATTTAAACTTCTAGAACTTGAGATATAGGCTGAATATTGAATAGTATTTAGGTTGTATGACAAATTTGGACTTATCTTTTAATGCTAAGATTTGGACTTTCAAACAACAGAATTAAGTCTTGGACTTTTCATGAATATTTTAGGCCTACATCTTAGCTTTCTAGCCATATAAACCAAACTAAAATCCAAGATCTACAGCTTCAGATATAACCCAATGACTTAACAATATTTTAGTTTGGAGTAAACCAACATCTTTTTTCTAAACTTAGCTCTCTCTTTGTCTTCTTAATTTCAGTAGTTAAACTCATCAATCAATCCTTTTATTTATAAGATAAGCTTGCATTTAAGATGAACATTTACTATAAATTAAAGGTATCTTATAGTATTAGACATATTATTATAAAACATGCTTTAGTTAAGGAGTTATTGATACTTCAAGTGAAAAAGATGATATAAAACCTTAATAAAAATACACTTTTAAGTATTAAACACACCCCCTAACTAGCTTATGACTAGTCCCTAGTAATCAAAGCATTAAAATAGAAAAATTATTTGCAAGTTCTACAAAGCAAGATATTCATCATTCAACTTTCATTAATGTATCCAAATAAACAAACTCTCATTAAATTTATATATTTGCTCAATACCTTATTACCAAAATATTAATAAACTTTCATTTTTATATGTTAAATGTATGAAAACAAAGATGATGGGGCTTTTATTGAAAGAGAAAAAATATTTTGTTCTAATATTTAAGGTTAACTTCCTTGAGTTATGATTATTACCTTTTTATTTCTTCTTTTTTATTATATATATATATATATATATATATATATAACAATGCATCTTTAATCCATGTAACGAGCTTTCGCCTAATGACTCTTAAATCAGTTGGTCTTAAGGCATTAGGTGTTGAGACACCACTACAAGCTTAGTAACTCGGGTTGCAAATACTGATACGTAGATAGTGCAATGTTTGATTTCCTTAAGCTTTTCTCCTTAACTCATGTAACAAGCATTGAGCCAATAGCTCCGAAATCAGTTGAGTTTAGGATAGTAGGTGTTAAAACACCTCCCTATAGGCTTAATTGCTTAGGTTAGGGAGACTACAAAACCAAACTTGTTATCATCATTGTTTTTTACAAATTATATACTGTCTTTTTTCCTTACTTGTTACCTTTAAAAAAAACATAAATAATTTAATAATTTAATATGCAACCCACAATCATATGTTAAAGTGTGTGTGTGTAAGAATGAAGGTTTTAATAATACTTGTTAAATGAGTATATGAGCAGAATTAATTGATGATAATACTAGAGTTTATAAATATGAATATTCAAGAAGTATTCTGATAAACCTTGTTATGAATATTGCAAATAACCATTAGAAAATGTTTACTAAAAATGCATTTCAAGAGTCAATAAAATCCCCCCTTGCTCTACCATCCTAGTAAAAACAGTTTTGTGAAATGGTTTTATTAAAAACAAAAGCAGTTAGTTGGTTGGTTGGTTTTTTTTTGGTCAACTACTATCTTTTTTCCCCAACCAAAACAAGGCATTGTCTTCAATATCATAAGATAGAAAGATAGAGCATACAAGACATCATCTGAAACAATAAATACTAATAAATTTGAAACACATTTAAATAAATATAAGAAATAACAAAAAAAAATAGTATGTTGTTAATAAAACCAAAAGACATAAGGTTTCACAAATGAAACAAAATGGTATGCTGTTAATAAAACCAAAAGACATAAGGTTTCACAAACGAAGGCTCAAATCCAATTTAAACTTTTTATGGCTTTTCTTAGTTGACCAATTTATGTGACTCATGGAGAGATCAATTACAGGGATGAAAGATTGTAGTTGGTCAATCAATTATTCAGCAGTAACAACAGAGATTATGATTTATCACACTAAAGATGTTAAAAAAATTTTATTTCATAGCATGATCAAGAAAAGACAACAAATTATCATAAAAACCATTAACATTTAACAGACATATGGGTTTATGGTGAATATGCAGTTGGGCCCAACATGAAATATAAAAGATTTTTCCCAATGTGTCCAAACCACCTAGAAAAGCAATGAAGGTGTCAGCATGATTAAATATAGCATTCATTCGATAAAAAATTATGGATACCTGTAGGTCTTCTCTAATTGTTTTTCCAATGATATCTCCTTTTGTTAAAGTTGCAGGAATGACCTCCAAAACTTGACTATCTCCTAAAAATACAGCTATTAACACTCCTCATTAACCTAAAGTTGTCTCCCTATACACTAAATGAATTTTTCTTTGAGCTAGTACCTAACCAAGATGATTTGCTAATTCTAAAAACTAATTTTCTTTTCTAGGACTGGATCCACTAAAACCACAAATATTTTTTATGTGGTGACTTGAGGAACTTGCCATGTCTACATACTTCTATATCTATTGAATGTATGATTTGAGTTGAAATGAAGGGAAAAAATAGAAGATTTTATAAATGAGAAATTAAAAATGCAATCATATCACTTATATGTAAGCCAACTAATGTCTTTCTATCTTTCTCTCTCTCTCTGTCTCTCTTTTTATTTATATATTATTATTTTATTTATTTATTTTATTTTATTGAAAAAACATGTGTATATACAGGTAGTTGTGATTGTGGCTCACATCTTCCCTTGGTTTTATATCTAAGAATGGCTTAAACGCTCTCTATAGGTCAAGGATAGGCTTCCCATCCAATTTTCTTAAAAACAAGCAAACATGATCTTTTTAGTTAGATTCTCGAGACTATATTGAG